AGACTATTGAAAAAGGTTCATTAATTCGGTTCGGGACGGAACTGAAAGATATCAAAGATTGAAGCCGCTCCTTAGAGCAATCCAGTATTAGAGAAACCTGCCTTAAGAAAAAGGTATCAGGTCAGTTATTTTCATAAATTAGATATAAATGCGTAGTTTGATTGTATACGTTATTCTCCGTGGTTTCAGTTAGTATTCCGTCGTTCATAATCGGATTCTTCTCGCACTCCACTGTAATTTGTTGTTCTTAAAGTTTGAATAATATTTGTGTATTGACCTATTAAGAAAGGTCAATAAATAATATTGATTTATTAATTTAGTTGTAATTAATTATGGATCCAACATATTCAGATTTAGATAATATGCGAAGGGGAGTTAATAATCATAGGGGTAGTGAAAGGCTACGACACAATTATATTTCTTTGTTATAAGAGCAATTATATTATTTTATAAGGGAAATTGTACACAGTTTTTTAAACCCTTTTTATGCAAATAAAACGGAATTTGATGCACATTTTTCCTTTTAATAGAAACTCCTTTTCTAGAATTGCTGTAACATTGATAAGGGGGAGGGGCACTCGAAACGAAACAGATTTGACGTACGAATCTAGGCAGAGACAGTTCCACCGAAGATAGTTCTTGACATCCAGAAGATGCCAAAGTCTTTTCTGTTGTATGGAATGGATGATGTCTCCCAAATTGTTCTGACATGTCAAGTAATTAGGGTTCTCTTTTAATAATAAAAGGATTGCCACTCATCCTTCTTATTTAAAAAAAAAACAATTTATAATACGCGTTAAAAGAGTGCAAGTAATTCTCATTAAGAAAACCCCAAACAAATTTTCTGTTTTCTTCACTTTTAAAGTCTTTAATTTGATAGAAATAATTCAATATATATACAGGGACGTCTTAAGGCATGGACCAACTGGGCCCAGGGCCTCGGTCGCAATAGGGGCCTTGTCTCGTTCTCAACTCAATCTTAATAAGATTATAACTCGAATAATTTTAACGGTTGTGAGAGATGAGTTACCTTATCTCTCAGTGTGGAGGGGTCGAAAGGAAGATTTGCCATAGTCAATATAACTTCAATTTATTTTTAGTTACGAACAACAACACAAATTCTATTAACCAAGTTTAGAAATGCACCCAAAATACCAAATACGGAAAACAGTAGCGAGGTAGACGAGATACGATAAGACTTTAATTAATCCGATTACTTACGTCTAGGCAATATCTTCGAATTCTTAGCAACCTAATCTAAATTGATTCCTAATTGACCAATCGTCAATTTTAATAATGCAATAATCAGCTACGAAGTATCCACGCCTCACTTCCCGTTCAATCAATCACTTCTAGCCGTTAGCAGTCTAACCTCCCTCTCCCTTTTAACTAGAAAGTTTAATCTTTATATACGAGTCTAAATTTACACACTCACATCTTCTTCGAAGGAAGGCTTTCAATAAATTAAATTTTAAGGACCCCTTTTCCCCCAAGAGGATTGTCAGTGAGAAGAATCTGAGTAGACCCGTGACAGGGTCAAAAGTTATTTCCGGTTTTATTCTCCGAAAAACTGGGAATTTCGGACGATACGTCAACTGGCTACAATTGACTTGTCATACACGTACAAAACTAAAACAATCACCGTACACCATCATTGCACATGCAGCCAAAAGGTGATAGTTGGTCGAGCCGGTTTGTACTGGCGTGTTATAAGTGATGCACATTTCTTTGTGCTGTCTACTTTTCAGGGTCATGGGGGAGCTTAAATTTTTGTAGGGGCCCAGGATCTTAAGAAGTCTTAAAACGTCCCTGTATATTCATGTTGAATGTGTGTGTGTGATCATTATCAGTATCAAGGACTCGTGGCTGGTGTGTCAAGAGTTCGAACCCTAGTACCACTGAAGTGCCTCTTGCAGAGGCAGTGATGCATGCTAAATCTGTCTTGGCTCAAAGTTGTGACGGATCTATACACGGTTCCTCTAATATCTTCTTATCTCTTTAAACAAAATATTTAATTCAACTAACTTTCATCGAGTAAGCAAACGTGATTTATGTAAATGAGGTATATTATATAAATTCGGTTTTCGCGAGTTGGCAGTAAGGAAGGAAGGAAGTGATTTGTTGACACGTTGTTGTTGACACGTCAAATGTGTGCAAATAGGAGTTTAACTGAAGTTTGATAATTAGTTGTTAGCTGAAGATTGAAAAGCAGAGTGGAATTAATTAAAGATTGCAGAGCGCGTCATTTGATCAGGCAGAAAAGAGTGCCTGCAAGTTCCAGTGTAGGATCCGATGTATTAAAGGTTCAGGTACTGTGTATTTGATTAAGTCGAAGCTAGTTATTAGTGTGTGACGTAGTTATATTTGAGCGTATTTAAGCTATCTTAGGTTCAGTTGAGGGTCTGTAGTAGTATCCCCGTGTTATAGAATCTCACCTACACACTCTACTATAATTCATATACCTTAATTAGAAGTTTATTGTGCCTGTTTGATAATTGTTAATAAGAATTAATTAATTAATTAGATTGGAAATAATGTCTGTGGATTATTCTGTTCCTCCTACACATCTAGTCGGATTTTCAGGTAGACAAGAGGGTTCGGATGTAAGAGGTAATCGAACGTTACTACAAAGTGTCCTTCCGTTGATGTGGTGCGGTAGTTAAAAAAGGGGGTTCCAAGTCAGGTGTCGTCCACGTCGCTTGACCATGGTTCAAAATTACGAGGTCCGTCGTCAAAAGCCCTCGAATAGCTGAACATTGCGACGCAAATATTCACTCACTCACTCTGCAATGAATTGCTATGAGTGGTGTGGCGTTTTAACCCCACACAACTGAAAATCGGCTTCTTTCGAGGACAGGATAGCCACTTTCCTAAGTATATCTGCACCCTTGAAATATTGCGAGGTGTTGTCTTTGGGCATCGCCTTGGCAACTGACACCACGAGGAACCCCCTAATCCTCCTACGAACCAGATGTAACTCGAGGATAAGACTCTGGAGAGGCCGAACGTTTACATCCAGAGACCCTAAATAGAGCAGAGAAAGAAGACGGTTTTGAAAACTTCACAGAGAATGGATGTGACCTCCTCCCTTAGAAACATCAATTTGAGACTTTGATGATCTAAACAATCTTTTTAATAACTTCAATGTATATACTGTAATTTTAATAGCGCTGTGATGTAAATCAACCAAATATTTAAATTAATAAATGTCACTCTAACATAACTTTTCTCACAAACGTCACAGTGGGGATAAACATTAAAATCATAGCAGAAAAATATTTTCCATACTCTGAAAAACAATCGAAACATTTTTCTACTTCCACACTTTTCTTCATAAAAATACAATTAATTTTCCGGGGCCGAGATTAGAGCAAGCTTTGCTGTTAATTTCCTCACACACTGCCCAGTACAAATGAGATTCAATTCCCGCGATATCATTCCCGGAAGTGTATCAACGGGTGCACCGTTTTGACATTATCGCGGGTTCTAATTCCAGCTCTACAATTTAATATCCTGAGTGAACACGGAACGAGAGAACCCTCCGATCTCGTGATCTCGAACGGGAAATCAGATGAAGTGCCATCCAGTTGTCAAGTTTCTGTTGACAGGGTGGAACTTCAAAAATAATTGTCCCTCGACATTCCATGACGTCAGTGGACACTGCAATCGAATCGTCGATCTAGGGAGCGAATTACATCGCAAAGCTTTTGGCAAATCTGAATTACATAAAATGTGTACCCACTGAATTGCATTCATTGGATAAAATTTACCAAATAAACGGCTCTCATAAAATTATCCACGCATCAATATTTCAACCAGGTATTTCAAACTCAGACTAACTTAGGCAAAACAAAGTTTAACTTTTGGAGGACCTCAAATAAATCAAAATTCCTTGAAACGTACATTTTTTTCAAATACTACCTTATAATAAACATAAATAAAAGAAAAAGAAAAATTTAATGCTTACATCCTGACACTTGACATTTCCTCTCTGCTATTATCTTTCCTATTTTGGTTAGAAATTTTGATATTTTATTTTTTATTATTGTGTGCCGATATACTGTGGGGGCCGCAAAAAAGTTTGTCGTGGGCCTTGAGTTTGACACCCCTGGTCTATGAGTGAGTGAGTGAATATAAAAGTCGCATTGTTCATTCACACGAGGGCTTTTGGCGACGGACCTCCAAATTTCAAACCATTGTCAAGTGACGCCCTGGTCTATGGCTATGATTCTCGCTTCGGAGTGGAAGGTCCAGAACTGAATTCCTGGACGAGCCGCTTGTGTTTAACCATTTTGAAGAAACGCGACTTACAATTCATCTGTCGTTTTCAACGTAATTTTAATAAACCAGGAGTAAAGAAGGTATGATTCTTTTCTATCTGCTGTAAAATTATAATTGCAGTTCCACAGGATCCTCTTTTGAATGCTTGGGTCGAGTTGGTATGACAAGGATCGTTAACCGAAGGGTATGAATTTCCATTTCGGTGCGAGAGGCTCTGGGTTCGGACCCAAACACCTCTATTTACTTCATCCAAGTTTAAAAGCTCGTAGAACAGCAACATCCAAACAATAAAAATATAAACGCGAACAATGTATTTTATCTGCTAATAAAATCTTTACAGTATTGGAAAAATTATTATTAAGATGTTTCTAATGAGTTTTCTATACAGTAGATTGCTTTTAAAAAAAGATTACACAGTTCTGTAGTAATCCCAACGTGGGTCGGAGGTCTAGGGGTATGATTTTCACTTAGGGTGCGAGAGTTCCTGAACTCAATTCCCGGTCCAACCCGAAAGCCTCATTTTACTTCATCTTAGTATAAGAGATCTTAGAGCAAATATAAAACCGATAAAAATATAAACGCGAAGCATGTATTTTAGCTGCTAATAAAATCTGTAATGTATCGGAAAAAGCTTTTCGTAACGTGTTCCTACCTAGTTTTCTGTGCAGTAGATTGCTCTCAGCAGTAACTTTCACATATTCCTTTACAAACACTAGCGTGACTCGGTAGTCTAGGAGTATGACCCTCGCTTAGGGTGCGAGAGGTCCCGGTTTCAATTCCCGGTCGAGCCCAAACACCTGTTTTTACTTCATCAAAATTTTAAATCTCGTAGAAAAACAACACTTAAACGTCGAAAAATTCAAACACAAAGCATGTATTTTATCTGCTAATAAAATCTTTAATGGATAGGAATAAGCCTTTTGCAAGATGTTCCTACCTGGTTTTCTGTACAGTAGATTGCTCCCAGCATTAACGTTCACACATTCCTTTACAAACCCTGACGAGACTCGGTGGTCTAGGGGTATGATTCTCGCTTAGGGTGCGAGAGGTGCCGGATTCAGTTCTAGGTTGAGCCCGAACACCTGTTTTTATTTCTTCCAAATGTAAAAGCTCGTAGAACAACAACACTTAAACGATGAAAAATTAAAACGCGAAGCGTGTATTTTGCCTCTTAATAAAACCTTTAATGTGTATTGGAATAAGTTTTTCGCAAGATGTTCTTACCTAGTTTTCTGTACAGTAAATTGCTCTCAGCAGTAACGTTCGCATATTTGTTTACAAACACTAATGGGGTTCGGTGGTTTAAGGGTATGGTTCTCGCTTAGGATGCGAGAGGGCCCGGGTTCAATTCCTCGTCAAGTCCGTATACCTTTTTCTACTTCATCCAAATGTAAAAGCGCCTCGAACAACAATACCAAGACGATTAAAATACAAATGCGAAGTATTTAATTTACCTACTAATAAAATCTTTATATAATGTATTTGAGTAAGCCTTTCGCAAGATGGCCCTACTTAGTTTTCTGTACATTAGATTTCTCTCAGCAGTAACTTTCACACATTCGTTTTCAAACCCTAACGGGGCTCGGTGGATATGTGTAATTTTTCCACCATCTAACCAAGTGGCAACAAAGCTCATAGATGCAATTTCCTATTGCAATCATATTTTCCCACGACTGACCTGAAAGTTAAGTTGCTGTATGGAATGAAAATGCGGAGGTGTGGAACTCGAACGCAAAGCCATTTTATCTCATTGCAGAAATATCCAGAAAATTTACGGAAGCTTTTGAAATCCGTATCCAGTTTCTCGTTCCCACCCCGAGAAGCACTCGGTGTCCACTTTCGACGCCCCTGCTCTTGTAAGTTCAGTCTCTGAAGGGGGACTTTTCTGTCATCCAACATTATCCAGCAAAGTTACGTGAGTTTCTAAAATACGATTTCAAATCCTTGTTCGCCGCCCAGAAAAACACCAGCTTTTGTCACACCTCAAGAAGTTTAAAGCAAGCCTCGGTCACAATTCGCGTAAAATAGGTTGGTTTGGCAGTATTCGACGGTAGTTAGGAGATAATCTTGAATTGGATTGAGAATATTTGGATCGGCAGTCCCGAAATACGTCCAAGACACACTTTTTGCGTCTCTACGTTTCCAAGTTGGGCTGGTGCTGCTATCCACGAATATTTCTGTCCTCTGGCATTATCTGGCAAAATTTCAGGAATTTCTAAAATTCGATTTCAGACTCTTGTTTACCATCTCGAATTACACCAGAAACGCACTTTTCCCTCGTAAAACTTTAAGGGAAAGCTGCTGCCCCGGTTTGCGTAATAGACGGTCCTCCTGAATTATCCGGGAAGTTACAGTAATTGATCAGATTGAATATCAGATTCGGATTATCCGTTTTAAAATACGCCCGGGACCCTATTTTCCTGTTCCAAGGCTTTTAAGGCAAGCCCCTGCCTCGGTGTGTCTAAGATACGGTCACCCGGTATTATCCGACAAAGTTATCGGAACTCCTGAAATTTGAGTTCAGATTCTCATTCCACATCTCGAAACGCACATGGAACTGACTCTTAATGCTCCAGGGAGTGCAAATTCAGTCGCAAGAGGGAATGAAAATCCGGTCTCAGGACTCGAATGATATGCCTTTTCACCTATTTCAGACAATATATATTGCAAGGTTAGTGGAGTTTCTGAAATTTTATTTTTCAGATTATCGTCCCCCCCCCCATATACAACTGGAGATTCAGTTTACTTTGGCTGCCCCTGAGCTGGCAAGTTCAGTCTCTGGGAGGGGCCTTAGGGTTATCCGGCATTAGCTGGCAAAGTTACAGGAATTTCTAAAATTAAATTTCAGACTCTCGTTTACCATCTCGAATTACACCAGAAACGCACTTTTCCTTAACCAAGACTTCAACGGTAAGCTGCTGCCACAGTTTGCGTAATAGACGGTCATCCTGAATTACAGTTATTCCTCAGATTGGATATCAGATTCGGATTATACGTTCTGAAATACGCCTGGGACCATGTTTTCACGACCCAAGGCTTTTAAGTTAAGCCCCTGCCACGGTGTGTCTGAAATACGGTCGACCGGTATTGTCCGGCAAAGTTACAGTTATTTTTGAAAACTGATTCGAAAATTGGATTCCACACCCCGAAATACGCTGGCCACTTACTCTTTTCGTGCATTTTGGTTAACTATATCTTCTTCCACAAACACATGAGCGTTGCGATAATTTGTGAATTTTCCCGTTTTCCGGATTCTTCAGATTTCCGGCAGTAAAAAAATTATGGCGTCATTAATTAAAATAAAAACTGCCCTATGTTTTAAGTTGGGCGAAATGACACACAGTATGCAAAATAATATTATGATCCGTTCATTAGTTTAGGAGTCCATCGCGGACAAACACTGTGACACGTATATTTTATATATAAAGATTAATAATTTACAATATATGAATTTATTATTAAATAACTAATTAACCGTCACCAGATGTCAGCATTTGTGGGAGAGGATGTATGCGCGATATGAGAGATTTCTATACTTATGTCCTTAAAATTATCTCTTTTCCAAAATGTCTTCAATTTTCTTTCCTTTACAGACAGCTTTCTTTTCTCTCGGTTTAGCCCAGTGTTAGATGGGCTTTTTCCCTCTTTTTTCCCCCAGTTATTAGATCTTTTTTGAAATTTCTAGTTTTTATTTCTAATTTACAAAGCTAATATAGTTTATTCCACAAGAAAACAGACAATGTACGACTTTATGATTAAATAATTAATTTTGTAATGAAAATAAAAAACAATATTGATTTAGTTTTTTTTTTTTAAATTTATATCCATTTTTGTATTAAATAATGAATGGAAATTTCTTACCATTAACTATTGTGAAACGACCTCTTATTATAAAGAAAGATTCAAAAAGTAAATAATACTATCTGAGGAAAACCATTTCAGCATTTTCTTATACTCTCACTCTCAATCCCTTTTTTTTAAAAATAAAGAAAACTATCATTTGAACGTATCAGAAAGTTGTCTCTTTCTGCACATGCTCCATAAGCCTCAAACTGGTCAATTCTGCCGTAGGTTTTTCACAATTAATTATTTCTGGCATTTGGTGATTTTAGCACCTTTTTTCGTTGCATTTTTATGGCTCCCTGAAATGGAAAAGTGCTTTTCTTAAAAAATATTTTATGCGCAAAAAGGAGAAAAATAGAAAAATTTTTCAAAATTACGAAATTTCATTAATTTTTTAAAAGAAGTTTTACAATATTCCATCTCAGTCTAACTTGGCAGCGTTGAGAAAGGTATACAATGTACCAATCTACTTGAAAAATAGTTGTAACTTTCTTTCTTTCTTTTTTTAGATTTAAATCCAAGAAAATCCATAGAAATTTGTAAAAAAATGTTTAAAAAAAAAGGAAATTCAGACTTTAATAATATATTTCAAGTTAATCACATGTTAAAAGCATTTATTTTTTAAACAAAGTTAATTAATACAGTCAATAGAGCAACGTCATGACATTCCAGTTTGGCTGAAAACCGATTTTCGACGGCAACTTTTGTCATTGTTGTAACAATAACAGAGTTACAACAATGCAGACAAATCAAAGTTGGCCCCCAAAACTGGTTTTTAATATCTTTTTAACTAATTGCAATATCGGACAGAATTGCAAATCTAAACCATTCTCGAATCCACTTGAATACATAAAAAAATTTCTTCAAAATCGGTCCAGCCGTTTAGGAGGACATATACACACGCACAGACGATTTATATATATAAAGATTTATCTTGTTTAAATTTTCAAGCTTTAATAAAATTCTTTCTATTCCACAATCAAGTTCAAATATATTTTTTAAAACTTGTAGTGGATGACACTTGATGTTAATATAGTTTTTCAAATATTAGTTTATCAATTAAGGTTAATTAATTTAATTTAATTAATTACCAATTTTTGACACCAACTTAGATTTATCTCCATTGTTGTAACAATGTAACTGTTAAAAGAATGACAAAAGTTGTTGTCGAAAACCTGTTTTTCAGCCAAACTATCCAAACTGGATGTACATTGGTACAACAATGCAGACAAATCATGCTCTTTTTTCCTATTATTAGTTCGCTCTCTCCCTATGTATGTATATATATATAATTATACTTTCTATATTCACCCTTTAAAGTAGGAGTTGACTGAAAAACGGATCTATGCGGTTTTTCACTAACCTCTTCTTTTTATCTTTAAATCAAATTATTTATTTCAACCAACCATCATCGAGAGCCAAGTGTGATTTATGTAAATAAGGAATATTATAAAAATTCGGTTTTCGCGAGTTGAAGAGAGCTAAGCAAGAGGATGTGAAAAGTCAAGTGAATTAAAGAAAAGTGGGGAGGTCGACACGTAGTTGTTGACAAGTTAATCGAGCTTGATACATTTTGATGTGCGTCAAGAGAAGCGGATTAAAAGTATTGAAGTTCACTCTTACGGAGCGTGGAGTCTTCGTCAATTCATCCAGCTAATGTGAGTGCCTGAATTTCGTCACGAAGGAACCGCAGCAGTAAAATATAAGGTATAGTGACTTTGATTTAGTAAATCTGATTATTAGTGTGAGGCGTAGTTGTAATTGTGCGCGTTTAAGCTGTCCTAGATTCAGTTAAAATTCTGTATTATTATTATCCGCTTGTATTGATATCTCACCTCTGCACCTCACTCTCGTTTATTTATCTTAATTAGAATTGTGTTGTGTCAGTTCATAATATCTGATAAGAATCAATAAATCAGTTTGAATTGGAATAATGTCTTCCGATCATT